TGAACAATTTATGAATGTATATAGCACATGTCACCTTTTGTATATTAACTCTAATTAATGAAAGCTTTTTATTGTATCTATATCACTTTGTACTGGTGTTTGGAATTGGATAATTGCAATTATTTTGGGGGTGTTACAAAGTTGAAAGCCTATGATGTTACACTAGACTAGATAGTAAGGAGGGAGAGAAGAGGATATATAAACTTGCTAAAATAAGAGAGAGAAAAACAAGAGATTTTAATTAGGATCGTTGAAATGGAGAGGATCTGGATTTGATCTTGAAATGGAACCCACAATTTCCCACCAAAAATATAGAGGATCCAAATCCCACCCTGATCCTCCAAATTTAAAACTTGATGTCTACTGTTTGATAGAATGCAAAATAGGTTTCTGCCTAGAATTGCAGTTCTATCGTGTCTGTCTCTCCTTGGAATTAGTGGGGATGTGTAGTATGTTTTCTAAATTCATCTTTGAACGACGCTAGCATCTTTTTGAACAGTGAAAAGTTTAGATCAAAATCCTTATGAAGAATGAACTCTATTTTGTAGGACTGTGCTGCTTTGTTGGCATATGAACAACCACAGAATTCCTCGGTTGGTTATCTCCTTGAGGAGTCACAACGAGAGATGGTGGCTGATACTGTCAATGCAATGGTCTTGTCAACGAATCCTAACGTGAAAGATTCACAGGGTTGCTTGCATTCATATCTTGAGAGATTACTCAGACAACTGACTGCTTGCTACTTGGAGAGGAGGTCCTTGAATGGGGATCAAGGCGAGGCTTTCCATCTGCGCAAGGTACTTAACAGTGGTAAGAAGGATTAGCTTTAGCTGAGAAATTATTTTCTCCCTCATCTCTCACCTTGTTCATATATGTCCGGCCCTACTGTGTTTCATGAACCACATAGAAGTGATAAAGAGATTGTTCTTCTTGTTCCGTATACTGAGCAGAGGACCCCTGCTTGATTGGTATTCGTGATATTTGTTCCCTTTGGTAAATTGGGGTGTTCTCTATCCTCTCGTATAAGTTGTAACCTCATGAACTCAACCTTGAATGAAATTTAGTAGTTGAACTGAATCATAGTGCACAGGTAATATGGTTATATCTTACCAACTAGTTTGGTACTTAAGTTGTTTTGTCTCTCATAGTTCATTCCATTGGGTTGGAGAGTGATTTGATACATATTGAACTGAATGATGATTCACTTTTTTGATGAGAGTGCATCTAGCTCCTCCATAAGATGGCTTTTGAGATAAAACTGCTTCATTGGCACTGGTATGATGGATGGATGTTTTTCGTTTTCGTCGTTATTGAAGTAATGAACTTTCGACTGACGGAGTTTTATCATGCAAAGCTCGTGCACTTAACAATCCTTGATTACTGATTATCTCTACTTTTGGTATGGCTCTTTGGTTGGCTAGCTGGTTGTGCTTGCAACGGTCATATAAATTGATCTCTTTGTATGGAGATTTTGATCATGAATACTTGAATCGATGTGCTAAGACCATCTTTTGTAGGTTTGGATATATTTAGGCAAATGCCAACTTTTTTTATACTAAATAATTAAGTGAAGGAAAGGGAAAGTCAATGGGAAAGAGCCATGAGCAGCTTCATGTTCCAACCAATTTGGCCAACCTTTTGGGAGTGAAAATAATATTTTAGATGATTCACTGGTGGTGAGAGTGAAAATACTTCATATCCAAAGTATTTTAAATAATTGGGCCATTGGATGGCAAAATTCGTTGTTTTATTACTTTTGGCAGATTCAACTTAAAAGACCCTTGTTCAATTAGAGACAATCCAATGTGAAAAACTTGCCACTTTGTCGTGACCTAAAGCCGACTCAGTGTCAGTTAATTTTGACAAGCCTTTACCCCTCTCTAAAATATCAAATTTTGTACTTTCAACTCAAATTTAACCATTTTGATAATTTTTTTTTTGGGGGGGGGGGGAGTACATCTCGGATGCTTTTTGCTCCCATCTTAATCAAGCGGGTATTCTCCAACAGCTCACTTGTCCTAGTACGCTTGAACAAAATGGGGTGGCTGAACGTAAAAATCACCATATTATGTCTGTGGTTCAGTGTCTTTTTTGTGGTATGAATGTTCCCAAGTTATACTAGTATATGGTTGTTCTTACTGCTGTCTATCTGATTAACGGCACCCTGAGTCGTGTCCTGCAAGGCCTCGCTCCTTTTCAAGTCCATAGGCCGGATAGCACTATGTTTCCTATCCTTCCACGTGTGTTTGGGTATACTTGCTTTGTTCAGAATCGTAGTCCCATCCGTACTAAGCTAGATGACAAGGCTATCCGTTGCATTTTTTTGGAGTATTCCTCTTTATCCAAAGGGTATAGGTATTATGATTTAGTGTCTGGGCATTTTTATCATTCTTTAGATGTTACTTTTTGTGAGGATTTGCCCTTTTTTGGTTTTAACATTCCTTTGCAGGTGCGTAGTGTTGTTCCTCCATCTCCCCAGTCTCCTTCTGCTCGTCTTGTTCCCATCTTTGATACAAATATCTCTGACACTTCAAATAATTACCCTACTCCTAGCCCTTCTCCATCTCTTCCATCTACCCCGCCTCTACAGGTTTACACCCATCACCCTCGGCCTTGCCAACCTCCTTTTCTCCTCTTAGGTCACGTAAGTCGTCTTCTCCTATTGCATCTACTCATTTCTCTCAGTATCGCGACAGAGAGCGTCGCCTCCCGTCTCGTTATAGTTGGCTTTGTAGTACTAATCATCCTATTTCCCAGTATCTCTCTTATAATAGTCTTACAGGTTCTTATCGCTCTTTTTTGGGCAAACTTGAATCTATCTCCATCCCTAGCTCTACCTCTGAGGCCCTCCAAAATCCCAAGTTGGTAGCAACTATGCAGGCTGAAATGGATGAGTTAGAACACAATCAAACATGGAGCTTTTTCTTTGCCTCCTTCTGCCAAGACGATTGGGTGTAAATGGGTATTCACTGTTAAGTATCTTGCTGATGGGTCTGTGGATCGCTATAAAACTCGTTGGTTGCCAAGGGCTACACCCAAGTCACTGGCCAATTCACTGTTAAGTATCTTGTTGATGGGTCTATGGATCGCTATAAAGCTCGTTGGTTGCCAAGGGCTACACCCAAGTCACTGGCCAAGATTTTAGGGCTACATTTGCGCCAGTGGCGAAATTGACCTCTGTTTGACTTCTGGTTTCCTTGGTGGCTACTCATTCTTGGCCTCTTCATCAACTTGATGTGAAAAATGCTTTTCTACATGGGGAATTACTTGAGACTATCTATATGGATCCTTCACCCAATTTTTGGGATCAGGTGAAGTATGTCGGGAAAGTGTGTCGTCTTCGTAAATCTTTGTATAGTCTGAAACAGTCTCCTCAGGCTTGGTTCAGTCCGTTCAGCAAGGTTATCTTGTCTATGAGTTTCATTCAATGTCATTCTAATCATACTTCATTAGGCTGCAAGCAAATGGACAATGCATCATTTTGCTTGTCTATGTTGATAATATTATTCTTACTGGTAATGATGCTACAGTAATTGCTCAAGTTAAAAAGGATCTTACCTATATTTTTGACATCAAAGATCTAGGTTCTCTCAAGTACTCTTGGTATTGAGATTGCTCGTTCTCGCCAAAGGATTTCATTATCTCAAAGGAAGTACATCTTGGATCTTCTTAAAGATACTGGTATGATGGGTTGTAAACCTACCTCTACTCCTATGGATCCTAATCTAAAGCTTACTGCTGAAACTGGTAAGTTATTAAGTGATCCGGGTATGCATTAGCGTTTAGCAGGTCAATTAATATATCTGTCCAACACTAAATCAGCCTTGACATTTGCTACAAGTGTCGTGAGTCAGTTTATGCATGCATCTCGTACCCCGCTCATCTTGATGTAGTTTATCATATCCTATGATATTTGAAGACTACTCCAGGTTTAGGGCTATTCTTCTCCGCCGGCTTGTAGTTTGGGTTGTCTTGTTTTACTGATGCCAATTATGCTGGCTCCAAAATTGATTGGCGCTCTACCTCTGGATTGTGTACCTTCTATGGCAATCATCTTATATCATGAAAGAGTAAGAAACAGGCAGTTGTCTCTAGATCTTCCACTAAGGCTAAATACCGTGCTATAGCACAGGGTACTTGTGAGATATTGGGGGTCAAATCGATTCTTGCAGAATTAGGCTTTAAGGAGAATACCTCATCCCTTTTGTTTTGTGACAATAAGTCTACAATTATGTTAGCTTCAGATTCAGTTCTCCATGAGAGGATAAACACATAGAAGTAGACATTCATTTTATTAGGGAAAAGGTTAGGACGAATGTTATAAGTCCATCCTTTGCCTCTTCATTGGAACAACTTGCTGATATGTTCACCAAATCGGTTGGTCCAACCTTGTTACAGTCTTCCATTGTCAAGTTGGGATTAGTGAATATCTTTGAACCAGTTTGAGGGGGAGTGTTGGAATAGGGAATCCCATATATTGTGTGATTAGAGGATTTTAGGCATATTTTCTTATATTTGATTTTATTGTTATTCTACCTTCCTAAATTGTAACCTCCTCAATTCAATACATATATATATATATATATAAGGCTAATCATACATAGTGATTAAGCCATTCAATTATATTCTTCTTTTCTTATCTCTATTTTCTTTCATTTGTATACTATCGGTTCCTATAAATATTGATTAAGAAGTGAGTAATGATCATAATCCAAAAAAAAAAAAAAAAGTGAGTAACTAAGAAACAAATTTAATCATAACCAAGAGCTCTGAGATTGAAAGCAGCCTTGGTACACTGGGGGATGTCATCACTACAATTGGTAATGAGAGAGGCCGCAACAAAAACGCAAGGAAGCCCTTGATTTATTTCAAATAGGATGAAATTGCTTTATGAGCTCTGCTATCAATTCTGCATGCCTCTTGATTTTAAATGTTCTTTCACCTAGCTAAGATTTCAAAGATTGCAAGCCTGCTTTGTTTTTTCATTTACTTCTAATTGGTACTGAAATAGAGCATGAGTCTTTCAAATTTCAATGATAATGTAAAAACAACTCATTCGTGTTTGGGTTTGTGTGAATTCTTACCTGACTCAGAGGAAGCCATCCTTATGTAAATGTCTTGCCCACTTTCACTGATCACTCTGAGGTCAACCAGGTCATCAAACCAAAGCAAGCATCCACTTCCACCTTGGCTTATGTTTAAACTTGTGTAAGCCACACAAGAGCAGTTCTTCAAGCATACCTCGCTGCATTCCCCAATCGTCATCGTCCGATTAAACCACGAACTCCGTGTGTCCGGCAATTTCATGCCTGAATACTTCACAAACCCATCTCCATTCTTGCAGTCTAATGGTGTCCTCCTGACACACCCTTCTGACCAATCTGTCATGGCCCAACTTATCGAGTTTTTGGGCACAAATTTACTCAAGCAACCGCAAAAAAGGGGTTTATTAACATCACAGCTACCATATGAACCGCACATTCTATAACTATCGCAGTTATCAGACGGTGAATTGAGGTCAAGTAACCAATCACGGTTTCGATCACTCCATCTCCAGAGCTGTACAACACCATTCGAATTCAAGATAAGCCTTGAAACCAGTGAGCTGTTAAGCGAGTCATACGAATAGGACACCTCGTCCCTTTCAAAATACGTTCTTATACTGTAAATTGGGTTTTCTCTCAAGCCTGTCCCGCTGAATTGGAGACCATTCCATGGTCCGGTTCGAAACTGCTCGACAGAGCCATTGCTGAGGAAAATTTGTGGGTATCCACGAGGATCAAGCCAATAAGTATAATCACCTCGACCCGGATCATCTTTACTCTTCCACGACGACATGTTCCACTCTCGGCCAGTAACCGAGTTCCTCCCAAGCTTCATGCCCGGTAACAGAGTATCACACGGGTAATCGAAGCTCTGCCAAAGGAAATTTTCTGGGTTGTGATCGTTTGGGTCTTGGATGATAAGATTTCCTGAATCGAGAAGTCTCGCAACTGGGTTGTGCGAGGATCGAGAGGTGTTGGTGGACCATACGGTGTTGTTGGTGGAATTGAGAAGGACGAGGATTCCTGGGTCGATGAGTTTCAAGACACCAGAGGAATTAGGAAGTGGGTTTTCTCTGTTGGCAACCCATACCACAGTTCCCGTGGAAATTTTCTTGTACCATATTCCCAAATAGCGATTGTTGGAATTGCCAGGCTTGAAAAACCCCATTTCAAAGCTTTCACTAGGTGAAACTATGGTGGTGTTACTATCAACTGTAATGAACTGAGTTTTAGTAATGGTGTCGAGTGCTTTGGAGGTTGTTAAGATGGAAAATAAAGAGTAGAAGACAAGAGGTATGGGATGAATTTCCATTGATGTATCTGGGTTTAGAAGTTCAAAATAAAAAAACCCTAGAAATCAACAAGAGAGCACTTTGGAGAGATGTCTCAGTCTCAATCTCAATCTCAGAGAATTCAAGAAAAGTCCCTGTTCCACTCCCAAATAAAATCTGGAAAAGATAAAAGATAAAAGATAAAAAATAAAAATAAACAAAAAAAAGAAAAAGAAAAAAAAAATTATAGGAGATGGCAAATAGTGTCCAAGTGAGTTTTTATATTTGTTGGAAATTTGGTGAATTTGTCTTTCAGAACTAAAAGTGGTTGTGGAATGGGAATCGCAGAAGAAGAGCACCTGGAGTTCGAAAAGGATCACACCGTGTTTTGACCTTCGCCTTCAACCTGAGTAGAAGTCATCCGTTCGGGATTTTAGAAAGGAAAATGAAAAATAAAGGTAAAATATAAATAAAATATATTTATATTTTATTTTATTTTATATAAATATTTTTATAAGTGGAATGGGAATCGCAGAAGAAGAGCACCTGGAGTTCGAAAAGGATCACACCGTGTTTTGACCTTCGCCTTCAACCTGAGTAGAAGTTATTCGTTCGGAATTTTAGAAAGGAAAATGAAAAATAAAGGTGAAATATAAATAAAATATATTTTTATTTTATTTTATTTTATATAAATATTTTTATAATTTTTCAATCAAACACAGTGTAAATGTGTTTTGATGGGCGCTGGGAGTGAGATTTATATTATATAAGAAAATAATATATGATTCATGATGTGTTAAAAAGATGATTGATTAATAATTAAGTATAAGTCTAGAAAATGGAACTAACTTTTAGATCTCAATAGTAACGATCTATTATATATATTGAGTGATTAGAGAACATGAGTGGATATAAGAATTTGTAATTGACATAGGATATAATCATGTGGTGTCCCAGAACTAATTAATAATTTTTTCAATCTTACACCATGAACCTTTTATTTTTTGGGTAAATTACATTGACGTCTCCTGAGGTTTGATCTAATTACATCACATCTTTTGACGTTTTAGAAATTACATTCTCATCTCTATAGTTAATAGTCTCATTTCACAAATTATTCTGCTTATATAAAATACAATGGCCTTGTTTGTTTTGTATTTCAGAAACAATTTTCTGAAAACACATTTCTGGAAGTAATCAAACCAAACAGATTTTCTCAAAAAAATTCTCAGAAATGTGTTTGGTTGTCTTTTTTCAGGATCACTTTTCAAAACAAATTCTCAGAAATCCGTTTGGTTAGTTTTTTCAGAAACACAAAATACAAACACCCCCAATTATGTAAACATGTTTTCTTTTTTTCTTTTCTTTTTTTTTTTCTTTTTTTTTTTAGAATGAAGCAAAACAGCACAGATTAGAATGAAATTGATGGATACTCACAGCATGGTCAAGAAATTCATGCAATAAAGCTATATTTTCTAATGCAAAAATCTGGCCTTATGCCAGATCAGTTCACCTTTGGAAGCATAATAAGATCTTGCTCAAGTTTGAGTTCCATTGAGCTAGGGAGGCAGTTGCTTGTTCATGTTATTAAATCAGAATTTGGCTCCCACCTTATTGCACAAAATGCTTTGATTGCAATGTACACAAAATTTGGTCAAATTACTGATGCATTGGATGTGTTTTCTGGTATTAAAAAAAAGGATTTCATTTCATGGAGTTCAATGATTGCGTGCTTTTCACAACTTGGTTAAGAGTTAGAAGTGTCTCAAGGTGTTTATCAGCCAAATGAATTTGTTTTTGGTAGTGCTTTTAGTGCTTGTGGCAGTCTCCTGCAACCAGAATGTGGGAGGCAGATCCATGGGATGATTACAAAATTTGGGCTAGGGAGAGACACTTTTGCAGTTTGCTCGCTCAGTGATATGTATGCAAAATGTGGTCTATTGGATTTTGCAAAAACAGCTTTCTATCACATAGAGAGGCCTGATTTAGTGTCTTGGAATGCAATCATTGCAGGGTTTGTGTATGGTGGTGATGCAAACGAAGCCATGCTGTTTTTTTCTCAAATGAGGCATCTGGCATTGACCCCAGATGATATCACAGTTCGCTCCTTACTTTGTGTTGGAGAAAAATGGTTGTATGACAAATTGCCTCATAAATGTGTATATAACTCACACATTTAAAGCTCATCAGTTTTACAAAATTGATTGAGCAGTTTTGCTAGCATTAGTTACCAGCCTCGATGGCTAGAGGCTCCTCCCCTCTCCCCCATGGTGTATAAAAGGAGGCCCTATTCCTTGAAAAGAAAAAAAGATAGATAGAATTTTTTCTTGGTATCCATACCCTATCAGTTTACTTCTCCAATAATTTTCTTCCTGAGAGAGAGTGTTGCCGTTGTCAGTTCGTTAAGCTAATCGGAATGTGCTTCTGTTGTAGCTGGTAAAAACTGTCATATCCTGGGAAGTAGACGCCGGCGTACCTCCAGCACCTAACGGTGAGGCGGCGAATCTATTTTAAGGAGACTGTGGTATCACACAGGCTTCGGTTTGCTTCCTTTAACCATTTTATATTCTATCTGTATTTTATTTAGCATGTTATATTTTCTGGAATTGGAGGTTTGTTTTGTTCATCTCATAATTTTGCGATATGCAATGTGAAATTATGTAATATGAGTAGTTTTTCCCAACAAGCTTAAAATAGATTCGACGTTTATCATAGAATTAGATTAATAGATTCATAGGTGTGTGTAATAATTTTGCATGTAATAGGCCACTGTTATCAATAGGGAAGAAGAGTTCCATTGGTGCAACGTTAATTCACTGTATTTTCTAATTAATTTATTAATTTATGGTGTACCGGTTCATGTCTTGTATTTCTAGATTTACATACTTATAGTTCACATGCTTCTAGTGTACAATATAAATTACATGTTCATTCGGGTTTAATTTTTAGTGTAATTTACATTTCTAGCATGTTTATCAGGTAGTAAATTTACATGTAACTTGTACCTATTAATTTTTAATTTAGGTGTGGAGTTGTAAAGTTTATAACTTGCCTATATTTAAATTCATGTTAATTTCTCTAGAATTATTTGCATGTTAATCATGTCATTTGCAATTCTTGCCTAGTAATGTGATTTAAGTATTTAGGAGTTATAAAATGTTTGTAACTTGCCTCAATTAATTACATGTTTAGTGTACCATAAGTTCATATGTAACCTTTACCAATTTAAAATATGGTTTAATTATATTTAATTTAGGTCTGTAACTTATATAGTTAATTACATGCTTGTTATGTAATTAATTTTTTTTTATAGTTTTTTTTTTTTTTTTAACTTCTAGATGTGTAACTTAAGGGTTGATTTTAATCTTTACTTACAGTTATTTATTATTTTGTTTGCTAGTACCTCCTCTTCAATCACTACTTTGCCAAAAGTAAAGAAAAGCTGAGGGAGGTTTTGTTGTATTTTGTTGTTAACTCTTTATTGCAAGAATACCTATGGAAATGGGAAAAAGGATTAATTTGTACTAAATATGTAAAGCAAGTTTTATTTGCTTGTAATTATTGTAGCAATTTTGTTGTAATTGCTTATAAAGTGATGCAATTGTAATTGCTTGTACCGTTTGGAACTTGGTGTGTTTAACCTAGTTCATCCCTTGGAAAATTTAATTCTTAAAGTTGTTTCCCATAGACTAGGAGTCAACATGCTCTTGAAAGTTTTGTCTAAGGTTAACTGGATTTTAAGTGGGACCGGTGTGACCCCTCCAGTCTTCCTAGAAACTTTCATGACCATGTTCGATTCTAGGTTGCGTGGTGAGACTAGTTTTGAATTAAATTTCCAATTTTGGGATTTTCTAATGTTAAGTTTGATTTCTAGAAATACAGAATAATGAAAATTCTGCTGTAATTTTTCAGAAATGGCAACTGTCTCTGATGCTGCTGCTGCTGCTAATGTTGGTGGGGATCCGAACCCCGGGGCGACTGGCTTGCCAACCCCTGCTGTGACCTCTGTGGTCAATCCTCCTGTTATTACTTCGGCTATTCTGGGAGGACCGCTCAATCATCACGAGCGCCCGGAGAAGTTCACGGGAGTGAATTTCAAGAGATGGCAGCAAAAGATGCTATTTTATTTGACTACTCTAAGCCATGCGAGGTTTCTGAGTGAAGATGTACCAGCCGTAGAGGAGAATGAGCAAGATAAACAAATGCTCATGGCTCTGGACGCTTGGAAACAAGCAGACTTCTTATGCCGAAATTACATTCTGAACGGCTTGGCGGACCCGCTTTTCAACGTGTTCTATGCCAAGAAATCGGCTAAGGAGTTGTGGGATGCCTTGGACAAAAAGTACAAGACCGAGGATGCTGGGGTAAAGAAATTTATCGTCGGCCGGTTCCTGGACTTCAAGATGGTGGACTCCAAACTGTCATGAGTCAAGTCCAAGAGTTCCAAGTGATTCTGCACGAGATACATGCAGAAGGGATAGTCTTAAGTGAGTCATTCCAGGCAACTGTTTTGATTAAGAAGCTGCCTAACGGCTGGAAAGACTTCAAGAACTACTTGAAGCACAAACAAAAGGAGATGACAGTCGAAGAGCTCGTTGTCAAGCTCCGGATTGAAGAGGACAACAGGAAGAAAGAAGGGAGTACCTCCACTGTCAAAGCCAACATGGTTGAGCATGGCGAGTCCTCGGGGGCGAGGGAAAAAACCACCGACAGGCAAAAGCTCAAAGTTTGGGGCTAGAGGAGGAATCTCCAAAAGGCCAGCCTACAAGCCCAAGGAGCCTACTTTTAGGTTCAATGGCAAATGCTTCAACTGTGAAAGTGACGGGCATCGGGCAGTTGATTGTCTGAAGAAGAAGCCCTACAGGAAAAACCCTCCGCAACACAAAAACCAGGCATATATGGCTGAAATGGAGGAATTGTCACACGATGTGGACGACATGCATCTGTTAGTCATCGTGTCAGAAGTGAACATGATGGGGTTAAACCCGAGGGAGTGATGGGTGGACACTGGGGCCACTCGCCATATTTGTGCAGAGAAGAGAATGTTCACAACTTTCGAACCAGTTTCAAATGGGGAGAAGTTGTTTATGGGAAACTCTGCAACCTCAGCTGTTGAGGGTAAAGACAAGGTGATCCTAAAGATGACTTCAGGAAAAGAACTGACTTTGAACGATGTCCTTTATGTGCCGGACATTCGTAAGAACCTTGTCTCGGGGTCTCTCCTAAGCAAGCATGGCTTCCGCATGGTGTTTGAATCAGACAAAGTCGTGTTGACCAAGGGCGGGGTCTATGTGGAGAAGGGATATATATCAGGTGGTATGTTTAAATTGAATGTTAGGAGTTATAAAATATTTGTAACTTGCCTTAATTAATTACATGTTTAGTGTACCATAAGTTCATATGTAACCTTTACCAATTTAAAATATGGTTTAATTAT